ACACACACACACACACACACACACAAACACACACATACACACACACACACACACACACTCACACACACTTATACGCCCGCGCTCGCGCACACACTATTCCAAAACGACAATAGGAACGACAACAAACAAATAAACAAAGAAAACCAGCAACTGAGAAACATAACGTTTCCCAAAAAAGGTAAATCTATGAGTATGAGTAGGTCTATTATCATGAGAAATGCACTTTATCACCAGCAGACGGCAGGCAACGAAATGGCGGCACCGGCACACTGGCACACTTTTCTCGTCTTCTGAGATGCACGCTCACGCTGTACTGTATTCTGTCACTCGCTAAATTTAAGTTTTGTCTGTTCGCTCGTAATGCCTAACGTAAACCCTGGAAACTATTTTTGTGCTCAGACTCGACTGGATCTCAGGAATGCGTTAATGGTTTCCTTTCTGCAGGTGAGGAGTCAAGTGAAGTGCTGTGGAAATGGATTGCAGGAGAGAGAGAGAGAGAGAGAGAGAGAGAGAGAGAGAGAGAGAGAGAGAGAGAGACGAAGGTCGAGGAGCATAATTATGTAAGCGCACAGTTGAAGAGACCCCCGACATAACATTCTTCTGAGGCTTGGGGGATCGGGATATAGGATTATATTCTTGTGTGTCAGTGCACAGAGCGCAGCGAACGCGCTGACATCAGCAGTAGAGTCAAGCGCGACAGGACTTTCATAATCAGGTAACCAAACTTGAATGTGTGTATCTTTCTTCGCTGGCTCTGACTGCCAGGCTCTACCTACAGTCTCACCCCCGACCCCCTCCCCATCTATCACTCCGTCACCTTTCCCCAGCCCTCCTTTTCTCTTTCAATCTAGGACTAAATTAGGACCCCAATTTTCCCCCTTTTATCTCCTTCCCCCTTTCTCGGTTAATTTCGTAATATATTCTTATGACTCGATCCAACAAAGCTGAACACAGAAGATCCCATTTACTCGTTCTTGCATACCTGTCATGAACTTACATTGTGTTCTCTCTACAAACTATATCTGCCTGCGTTGCTCATTTCTACCGTCTCCCCCTTCTCACAGACACACCGGCGACGGACGCACGATCGAGTGCAAATACGATATGCCCTCAAAATGACACAACCCCGAAACAAGAACAACAAGAATAAGAACAACAACAACAACAACAACAACACACACACACACACACACACACACACACACACACACACACACACACACACACACACACACACACAATCACAATAATCGTTATCGTCCAAGATATCTCGACTTAGATATCTACAGTAAAACCCAAGACTGTGTAGTCGTGTAGTATTATACCAAGATGTTTCAATTGCCGTATTTCGCGTCTGGGCGAGACTTGGGCGTGACGGCCCGTAAGGGGGAAGGGGGGGGGGAGTGAGAGAAAGAGCGAGAGAGAGAGAGAGAGAGAGAGAAAAGGTTAATGCCACGTCATGGAACGTTTACATGTTGTGTGTTCGTTACCCGGATCCTTCGAAAATGTGGTCGTGTCTTCTCTCTATATTTCTGTCTTTGTCCTTCTCTCTATTTGTCTGTCGGTCATGTGCCTATCTCTGTGTCTGTTTGTATATCTTTCTGTCTCTGTCTCTTTGTCTCTATATATCTCTCTCTCTATCTCTCTGTTTCTTCTCTCTCTCTTTCTCTCTCGTTTTGTTTCCTCTCTCTCTCTCTCGAGATCTCTCTCTCTCTCTCTCTCTCTCTCTCTCTCTCTCTCTGTCTCTCTCTCTCTCTCTCTCTCT